TATAGCAAGGGAAGCAACAGTGGTGCAACTGTTTGTGCATTAATACAGATGAAGTTATCCAGTGGTTAAATCTGGATTAAATTTAAATTCAGAGCAGAGTTTGAAAATGAATCAGGGTTATGGTTTCTGTGCACATGTGATGGTGCTAAAATCTTATGGGGTTTTTTTGTCTTCTGAAGTTTTGGCTGTGTTTGATCTGGAATGGGAAAATAGGATCCATTCTGGTTTGGAAAGAAACCCAGAACCCAAATTATATGAGTAAACTCACGTCGAGAGACTGAAATGCCCCCAAATGCCCCTTTACACTTCTCTTTCTGAGGATGGAAAGTTTGACTGTCAGATGGGACTGGGGAAGAAAGATGTCTCCAGATGAAAACTGATGAAAAGCTGAATTTGGCAATATTATTAAAGTGGACCCCTGGTTTTAATTATAAAGTTATATAACAAGTAATGGCAAATCCATTACAGACTTCGAAATCATGTCAAGCTTATCTGCATTAAGAGCTGTCAAGTACCCACTTCTCTACAGCAAGCAGAATCCGCTCCAGTCTTCAGCTCTCGGGTTGAGATAGCTTGTTCTTGCAGCAACCTGTTTAGCAGCCCAGAAAGCTCCCACGGCTCGGTTTCCCACCATTTCAACAAACCCTATTTCAAGGGAAACTTTTCCAAAAAACTTGAACTGGCTTTTAAAATTAATGTGATCCTTGTGTCAACTGTTAGCAGCGTGCCAGTGAATTACCTGGGAACATTTATTTAGGATTCATAAATATATATAGGAAAACAGTTGGTACAGCCACTACTCTGCCTGCCTTGAAGTACTGAGATGCTCTAATACTTTGATTTGAAACATTATAACCTGCAGGAGAAAACCTTGACATAAGGATAGCAGATTCAGGCTTAAAACACAAGGTATTGTGGTCATGAAGTTACTTTGCAGACTGGCAGAATATGTTCATGATTTCAGTGGCTAAAATGATGGAAACAACAGTCTGGGTTTGAGAAGCCTGAACTTTAGTGTGAAAAACAGAAGTCCTCAACAGTCCACCTGACAATGTTGTTTTGTCTGATTTTAATTAATCTGTCACTACAAACGTGACCTAGTTACCACAGTACAAATGTCAGCTTGTAATAGCTTTTCCCTAGAGTCCTCCTTAACTAGCATTTACATTTACATCTGCTCATTCAAATATGAAGAGTAGTTAATTAGCTCCATCTACTGCTGCATGGAGTGAATTGTACCAGCAGCGCCAGTTCTCCGGTAGCCTCTTCAGATCGCACTCGCAGCGGTGTCTTATGCACTCAGCTGCACCACGCCACAGGCAAGAGCTGTTAGCAGAAAGCAGAAGGTTTACATCTTTCTGTTTCTTCTTCTGTTATCAGCTTTTTTTTTCTTTAATCCCTAATCTTTTTGGTAATTTCTTTTTGAATTGCAGGGTGACAATGCGGGGCATCATTTTTTTATCATTTTCCCACGCCAAAAGACATAACAGTTCTCTTAAAATAATTGGCACAAACAATGAAGAGACTTGCAAGGAGGGAAATGGAGCTATTTAAGTTACTGTTGCACTGATAATAAAGAAGGCCACTGTGCTGAAAATGGGTACTCAGATCAACAGATGGATGCCCTTATGTTATGCTTGCCGTATGTGTTGACTGGAGTATTCAGATGGGGTATTTAATAGTTTATGTTTTAAAATAAATGTTCTGATATTCATTTAAAATGCCTTCTTAGTTTATGAGAGAGCTAATGAATGCCTGTTCTAAAATGTCATCTTTCTTAGTATTTCCCTTTTGATTTAGGTGGAATATTTCAAATACTCTCAAAACATCCCAACTAGCATCCCAGTAAGCAGGCTGCATGAGATACTTACCTATGACATAGCTGAATCAGAGAAACGCACCAGATTATTGCCGAAGTGGAAAGGTAGCAAGGATTAATACCTTCAAATATCTAAAATCTCCAAAAATTTTTATTATTATATTTAAAGAAATAGCTCAGCAAAGGATTTTATTTTCATAATAGATTTACTTTTCCATTAAGAAAGAAAATAATACCAAGGAGCTTATTAAGTCAGAGATGTTTTTCTAGCCCGCACAATGCTTAGACACCTGTGAGATGGCTGCTAAACAAAAAGACGAGGCTTGCAGGTATTCCATAGAGGAAGAAAATTTGTTCTTTGGGCTGGCTGCTGCCTTCAGTTACATCAAAAGCAGTGCACCTCCTGCTCACAGCAAAGCACATTACATGAAGGTGCATCATCAGTTCGCACCGATACCCATTTCACCTGCCGCGTGTCCCTGGTTGTACATCTGCCTCAGGTGGCCTCAAAATACAACAGGACATTTCTGAACACAGAGTCAGAGAAGGTCCCTGATTAGAAAACATTCAAATAGAAGTAAGCAAAAGAAAGAGAAGACAATTACCAACCAGAAAATGATTGCAGCAAATCCTTGGTCTTTCCCCTTTACTTTTCACCAGGTATGAAAACAAAGCCATTTTCACTGCCGAGGCTAGCTTTGAGTGCCTCAGCCTCAACTTTGGCCCCTGTTTTTATCTCTAAAAGGGACTTCTCCATCTCTAATTTATCTCTGAATTGTAGCCTTCAATGCATTGTCTGTGAATGCCACTTACTTAGAAGAGCCTTTCCAGCTAACTCCAAGGAATTAGATAGTTTCTGGGGACAGTTTTGTATGTTTGAATGGGATAATTTAAATGCTGTTCTTCATTCTTCACACACCACACTGAAAATCTGTTCCCCTGTCCCTTGGAGGGAACATTATCTACTTACACAAATTCATGTCAAACCAAGTTTTGTTCTTCAAATTTGTAATTAATGCAGTATTATGCAAAGCAGAATCATAAATAATCTGGCTGTGCAGTCTATTCTTTCATGAAAACATGGGGGACTTCAGTGTCTAACTCTGCTTACAATTAGCACATCAAGTGGGAAAACAGATCTTATTATCAGTTAATGCACTGGAAATCAATCCATCCAGACCTTCAACAGCTTTCTTAAAGAATATTTAAGGTGAATTACCTCCAAGTTAATTGCAAGCTACGAAACTCTAAATGCTTACTTCTGTTTGTAGTAAATGTAAATCCCAAATTTAGTATTAACACAACAGGTAACTTGCAACATGTGGATGAACTATTTGAAAAGATTGAGGGTTAATGTAAACTTCAAATTTAAGAAACTAAACACAGAGCTGTACCATATGCCTGCTGTGAATTTTATAGGAGTAAGAACTGGAAAGAGATCTCAGAGTTCAGTTTCACACCTCATTTCCAAGAAAAAAATCTCATAGAATCTGTTCCTGAGTGAAGGGTTTAAGGTTAAATCTGCAACACCAGAATGTTAAATAAAAAACCATACTTTTTCTTGGCTTGTCCTTAACACAGGCAGTCTTTGTTTGATTTCTTGAATGCATTTGCTTCTATATGAATGTCAGAAGAGCCAAGGAACCAAAAGCCGCTAGACTGTTCCTGAAGTCGCATTGCCTCAGTAAGCCCTGCAAGAGGCATTACTGATAACAGTGGAGAAACAAGCTTTCAGTACTCAATCAGTTTAGAAAATAAAAATACTGAGGGGATTTTATTGACCTAATACTTGTTTACCAGTGTGCAATGATTATACCACTTTCACGGAGGTAGTTGTGAGCAGGGGCAAATCTAACCCACAATGGTATTTTCCACTTTTCTTCTTCTCATGTAACGGTGTTCTTCACAGGCAGCACACTGGTAGAAAGGTGTATCAAAGAGTCTCAATATTATGGGCGCTTTTTCATGCATTTCTATGTGTGCAGTGTGTCAGATCATCATAAACGTCAAGGTGCACAGTCTATAAAAGAACACATACACATTTATACATATATATGCAACCCACACATATATTATGGTCAGGAAAAAGGTATAATAATAAGTGCTTCTAAACTTCCAGACTGCAGTGTAAGAAACAGGTTGCCATATCAACAACTTTTGTAATATCTGTCAGTGAAGTAACCACTCAGAAAGACTGTTAACGGTTTTTCATCAAGTGTAACCATCCTCTCATGTGGGTCATAATTTCATCTGTGTGAAACTTTCCCTTTTTTCATCAGGAGTTATTGCATATCCAGTTTTCTTTTCAATTCAAGAAGTAAGTTTTTTCATCTGTACACGAAATTTTTAATGGCAAGTGACTCAAGAGAAATTTGCTAAGCTGAAAATTAAGCATATCAAATTTTTCTTCTGCATCATAGTTACTCAGGCAGTTGTGACTGAGCAGAATACAGAGTATAAACGTCAGGATAAATGGCCATATTCCATTAAGGATTGGCCACACCTAAGTATGTCCTCACTTGGGAAAAACTTCTCTCTGGATCTAAACCTTTTGGCTCCAGTCCATTTCTATGTTCTGCCCTGCACTTATTCAGAAAAGCCATGGATGGCTATGGGAGTTCTGTCTAAAGATGTAGGGAAGAGTCTCCATACATATTTGTGACCTTACAAAGATGAATATATTATTTGTGTTGGTAGCCCATGCCTTCAAAGCTCTTTGTTGCTATGAAGCAAAAACACTTTGATCTGGAATAACACATTTTCTTATATAATCTGGAAAATTTATGCATTATTGACAAAGCTAGAAGGAACTGAATACTGAAAGTATAGCAGGAAAACCACACTTCATTGTTTTTATTTTTAAATGTATTCAATGCAGTTCAGAAACAACTGTAATATAACTCTTATTTTACAAAGTTGACCATTAAAATATTAAAAAAGGACTTACTAGCCTTTGATAAATAGTTTAATATGGGACATGCATGCTAATAGGAAAGTCAGTTTTGGATGACTGTCATTTAACAGTGGAAAAGTGAGTTAACAAGAAACTTTGTAGAAATGCTTGAAAAGATGGCATGTCCTTTCATATCCCTTTATCCAAATGCAATTTCTTCATTCTTCTGCAACTTCCCCTCCCATATCCACTTTCTAAACTTTAAACCAATTTTACACATTAAAATATCTAGAAATACAAATAATATACCCAATAAAATACATTAATTATGATGAATGATAACGGGAAAGAAAATCTGGCATAGTGGTCTATGTGGTAAGGATTTTTAACATGGAAGCAATCAAAGATACAGAAAAGTCTTTTCATTACTGACATTGGTGAACTACAGCCATTGTGTTTACTTCTCTCCCTTTTTCTGTCGATGCTGGTTTTGCTGCTCTTGTTTGAATCGATCTTGTTTATATTGTCAGAGGCACTGCAACTGTTAGCGACTGCTGCCAGGACTCCATTCGTCTCTTCATCAGCCTCTTCATCCTCACCCTGATAGGACACAAAACAGGAGGTACTTAAGTGCATGTTTCATCACCTAGTTACTTTAAAGCTAGAGCAAATAATAGGATTTTTCTTATGACTCCTCCTATAGCTCACTCCTTGATTTCAAGGGCGAGCACCTACATGCACCTGACAGCTCCTTCCAGCTTTCAAAGACTCAATTTACAAGAAAAACACTGACTTAAACAACACCTTACTGCAAAAGCTTTCACAGGACTATCGAGCAAAGCTGGATTTGTTCAAATATGGCCCGCTAAGCTTTACTTGAGACCAGCAAATCCATGAAATGCACAATAAGCTGTCTTCTGCTCAGGGAAAATACTGGCAAAGGTCAGGTGTCTAGAAAGCGGTGTCTAGCAAAGCCCCAGTCTGGAAATGGAGAAGGTGGGGGAGCTGCCAGACCAGCTAGTCAAGCTGGTTGCACCCCAAATCAAGCACCTCAGAATACAAGACACTTTCCTCTGTGCCGCTGGCTACTCTATTCCCGGTGCTTTGTGATGAAAATCAAATTACTTTAAAAAAATTTAAAAAAAAAAAAAAGCACAAAAAAGAGAGGCTCATAAAGAGGGACAAGCCCCACAACTAAATCAATACTAAATAGCTCATAATACTTTCTTTCAAGTCCTGAAACCCATTCTTTAAGTTCAAAGTTATGCTAAGGTTAAGCGCATCTTTATGTGCTTCGCTGCATCAAGACAGCTCTTTGGAGAATGTTGTATAAGCCTTCTGGTGGGTTTTGTTTCTTTGATTAGAAATGGCTCGGAGACATGAAGTTCATGTATGAAATCTTCACCCTTTGAAGTCAGCGGGTTTTCTGTTACTGACTCAGAGGACACGGGATTAGACATCAGCTGCAGCTTCAGCTCTAAACACAAACTTTCTTGAAAATTCTGGGGTATTTAGTTTGGTTTGGGATATTGCAGAGATACCAGCAGATCCAAGCTACAAAGATTGGCTCCAACTTTGTATCTAAACTAAACCTAAATCTGTATAGTTAGAGGAGGGCTCATTTTAATTCAGGCAGGTGTACACATAATTTTAATTTTCTCCTGATGATTTTATTACCTTCCAAATCAGTGAGTTGCATACAAGCAAGAAAAGGCTAAAAATTTATTTGTGAAATGTAGAACGCAGAATCTCTTTCCTCTGACCAATTCACTTTTTCCATTTGCATCATGAGAAGAAATAGATTAGACAAGGAAAACTTTAGAAAAGTTAAGATGTACAGCCCTATGTGTAGCCACACAAAAAGCTCATTTAGAAATATCCCAGATATTAAAGTCAAAGCAAGCTCATTAAGCCACCTGAGTGATCTCCATGCCGGTACAGAATTTCTCTTCTGCCCAGGGTACTTGTAGATGGCACAGTTCTTGAGCCTTTCTCCATGTAAAATTAGTAACGTCCTTGAAAATTAAAGTGGAGTCTGGACAATGTCCTCAGACTGCTGTGAATCAGTGAAGCAGAACAGATGGAGCTAGAAAAAGGGATTATTACTCCTTCTCATTTTCAATTTGCCAAAAAAAATCCAGTATATTTTATCTGAGAGAGATAAATGTAGCTCAACACGTGTCATCCTAAAAATACACTGACTACAAAACCTTGCTCATCCTCCACCTAGCCTCCCGCAGCTACGTGAGAATTTTGAAACTAAAGGCCAGGATGAAATTCTGCCTATAAAGCATTAAGAGGATCAATCCATAAAATTCCAGTCTGAACCTTAAACAATCCCCAGGGTAGTACTAAAACTCAACCCTGGAGTTTTACTTGGGGCCTAGCTCTGTTATAAATACCTAGCTCTTCTGCTTCAAAAAGTTCGGGCAGCTGAGGGAAGCGCTGGGAGCCTTTGTCAGCAGCGCCTGGCACTTGAAACAAGGCACCGGAGCGACAGCCTGATGAATGCACTCGGCGCTTCAAAGGTTAATAAAATGAAGAAACCTGTCAGAAGAGTCCTGACTTTTTTCCACTGCTCTCATTTTTTGGAAAGGAGAAAAAGAGCAAAACACCACCTGTACTTCAAAACTGGCAGTATTTGGGGCATTATACAGTGTAAAAGGCTATTTGTCTCTCAGGTAGGGCTGGCTAAAAGTTGTACAGAATTAGTTTTACTGCAGAGCATGAAAAGGTGTTGCGTACGTGCCATTTTTCTTCTCTCACAACCGCATGTGAACAATTCGCAGGAGGCTGATGCTTTATTAGCCTGTTCTTAACTCCTTTCTGCTCCCCAAGAGGCAGTTATTACTTAAGCGGAAGATACCATCCATGGTGCATATGTACTTGATCCTGTTTGCAGTGTTACAAGGCAGGGCCTTGTAGAGAGACAAATTTACAGCAAAAGTGCTGTATCACATTGCTTCAAAAGGAGAAAGCTAATCTAGAGGAGAACCACAACTGCTAGTTTATAAAAAAACTAGTCTTATAAACTGGGACTATCAAGGGACTTTTCCAACTCACTATGGGGAACTGAATGTGATGAAAGATTAAGCTGGTTTATATTACATAAAAAAATCGTGTTGCAAGTGTTCAACTGTGGCTCTAATTTTAAATGTCACACTAAGTTTTCTCTGGATTCCAGCTGTCAATGAGAAAATGGCAGCTGGCACTAAGAAGGGCTCTGTTTGGATACAAAATTGGTAGCATCCCGGAAAGGTACTGTACATCACCTGAAAAGCACTGTATATGGCACGTGCTACTGTGGCTGCTGTTTATGCTAATCCAAGGGTTTGCTGACATCTAACAGCCAACAGAATTGAGGAAAGCTGTCACTTCCATTGAATAATAAAGACAGTCAACGTTAGAAATATTTCAACCTAGAGTGTTGCACACCCAGAGCTGCTTTGATGTTCAGAAAGACTGCACAATGCTTGCACAGAAATGCCAAGTAAGCTGAACACTGCCTTTGTAACCTTATTTTCAGTTTTCAAACTTTTCTCCTTTCTGACCAAAAGGGAGAGGTTTAGGTGAAAGACAGATGAAGGCCAAGGAGGAATTCTCTGTTTTATAGGAGGGCACAATTCACACCTTTGTATAAAAGAGAGGCAGCTCAGGATTTTGGAGAGGCAGCCTCTCCGTTTAGGCAGGCTGCTATGCAGTTGAGGTGAATGGCACATTTTGCAGCAGGTGGTTCCTCTGCTTTTGCCATTAGCTTTGAAGCTGTCTCTGTGGGTCCTGGTTCACGTGATGTGAGACACTGCAAGAGTGTGGTTATGATGAGCTGTTTCACCAGTTTATATTCTAAACTGGAGACTCCAAGGGCTTCAAAAGAACATGATATGTCAGTGCCCAACTGCTTCAAAGAGCAAAGCAGAAAGCAAACCAGTACAACTAACCTATATAAGGCAGAAGGTTACATTTTCAATGCACCTCTTACATTTATTTACATAATTCTGAGTGCAAATTTTGTATCAGCTTGCATATGGGAATAACAAACTGGGAAGTGAGATTTCTAATTAACTTATGTCCATAAGAGAATATGATAATGAGGAGAACACATTTATGGTGACGATACTCACACAGAAATTTGTTAAGTACCTGCTAGACAGTGACATGAGATTTTAGCTACTACTTCTGTCCTTGCGATGTTTTGGTTTTTACAGTGAGAAATGAGAAGTACAAGTCAGGTGTGCTCTGCATGGCACCCTGCTCAATAAGCGGTGCTTGTCCTTGGCTACAATAGGAAAAGGACATGACAGGCATTTTCCTCATTCTGCGGAGTCTTGAGCTGATCTAGGACCAACCAACTGCCCCTTCCCTTATATGCTTGTGTTTGTGGGGGCAAGAAGTGAGTTGGACTGGCTTGCTCACTCCTGATACACAGGAGAAGGCAGGAAACATGCCTGAAGTGACAGACCATTCCTTTCACTCATTAAGTCCATCACAAAACTGTACCCTAAGTCTTTCTTCCTTCCTCATTTTAGGGCTGTACCTCCACTTACTTCCATGCAGGTCTTTCAAGTCCACAAGTTCCCATGTCCGTCCCATCTGCAAGCACTAGTACATGTGCCCCAGACAAAAGAGAATCTGAGATAGGTAGGCAAAGGCAGGGGCAGTCATAAGTGCCCTTCACAGATCCAAAGATGCTTAATCATCCAAGCACTGAAACACTTTATTTTCCTGCCCAAACCTCCAATAAGCTTTTTTTTTTCCTGCTCTATGAGCAAAATGACAACCACTTACTTCACAAGATGGATATGCTCAGAGGGAATTGTCACTGACGCTACCTTGCCAAGAAAAATTACTTTCAGGCTTTCCACTCAAATCCTCATTTGAAACGAGTGTTTGCCCATTTGCAGGCATTCCCCTGTTAGATGTTGTCTTTTAAAACCCACTGGGTGGCTCAGCCTTGTGTCCATTTTTCAATCCTTCTCCACACACCTAGCACAACCTCAGCACAAGAAAGACATGGACCTGTTGGAGCAGGTCCAGAGGAAAGCCACGAAAATGCTCATGGGGATGTAACCCCTCTCCTATGAAGAAAGGCTGAGAGAGTTGGGGTTATTCAGTCTGGAGAAGAGAAGGCTTCAGGAAGACCTTATTGCAGCCTTTCAGTACTTAAACCTTTCAGCACTTATAAGAAAGATGGGGACAAACTTTTTAGCAGGGCCTGTTGCAACAGGACAAGGGGGAATGGTTTTAAACTACAAGAGGGTAGATTCAGACTAGATATAAGGAAGAAATTTTTTACCATGAGGGTGGTGAAACACTGGAACAGGTTGCCCGGAGAGGTGGTGGATGCCCCATCCCTGGAAATATCCAAGGTCAGGTTGGACGGGGCTCTGAGCAACCTGATCTAGCTGAAGATATCCCTGCCCACAGCAGGGGGGTTGGACTAGATGACCTTTAAAGGTCCCTTCCAACCCAAACTATTCTATGATTCTATGATGACAGCTTTGAACATATTCCTGTGCATTTACAGAACCTCTCTCTCATCCAAACAGCCAAAATCCCATATTAATTGTTGAACTGTCTAGGCATAAAAAAACACACCTTGGCTGATCTGCATTGTTTTTAAGCTTCTCCACTTGAACTCAATATCCTGTTTCTTGAGCCTACTGAGGAGCTTTGCTTAGACATATGTGATGCTCTGTCCTAGTTTGGCTTAAATAGTTAAAAATCTTTCTTATTCTGGCTGTTTATCCCTATAGCACTCAACCAAACTTTTTCCTGCTGTTTTTTCTGTTATTCTCACTTTCCATGTTTTACTTTTTTCTATTCATCCAGAAATTTCATAAGCTGCTTAAAATCTTCTTTTCTATCATGCATATTAGATTCAGTTCCGTAATTAAAAGCTGCAAGACAATCAGCTTCCAACTTCCTTGTGATTTCTTTTTCACTGCTTATGAAAGCAATGCTAAACACTGGAGATGGAAGATGTGACAAAACTTTTTCATGAACCTGTCCGGATTATTTCAGCAAGATGACAACCACCCAACTCAAAAATGCCTATGTTGATTTGATCCCTTTTTATTTTAAGTATATTTCACAGTATTTCAGAGTTGTGAGAAGCTCATTACAGCAGCAAAAAAGTGCTGCTATAATAACGATGCAGAACAGAAAGCGAATCCCAGTCTGACCTTCAGCTGTAGCTGTTGAAAGAGAAGGTGTAAGTGGAAGGCTATAGGGATCTGATACACCTAATATGTGAAGCTGTCTGCTAGGAAACTGACTCATGTACCATGCATGTGCAGAAGGTTTCATAAACGGAATGTGATAAAATCTTTTCTTTTTGCTGTATTGCAGTAAGATCAAGTCACCGAGCTCAATCTAATTTTTGAACTGTAAGTAAGCGTATGTCATAGTGGGGAGACAAGTGCCTATGATTTTTGTGATATGTCTAGCACATTGTTTGATAAATGGCCATAAAGTCCATGTCAAAAGAGAGAATTATTATGGAAGGGTGTTTCAGTTTGTCTGATCTCTTCCAAAAAGTTCCAGGCATACAAATAATTTTTCTTTTTCTCAAGGTTATCCTGTTTTCACTGTCCTTATTCTAAAATAGAAACTTCCTTAAATACATTCACCATTAGTGCTAAGACAATTCATTCTCTTTAGCAGGTATAATTGAAGCCTGTTTTGTAGGACAACAGTCAAAGAATTAAGATACCTTTGGAAGTTCCTTTGAATTGAGTCGATGCAGAGTGCAAAAATGAGCCACGGCATACTCTAACAGTGCTCCAAAGATGAAACTGAAGCAGATACCAAGGTACACATCAATTGCCTTAATAAAGCAATTAGCATTTGGGAGTGAAGTCCTGGCTCCCATCATCAGTGTTGTCATAGTAAGGACTGTGGTAACACCTGTGGAACGCAAAAATATAAGTTCTGATAAAACATGGATAACAATGAGGGCCTCTACTGCAAAGGCCCTGCTACAAGACAGTTTTTCCTGGCTCCGTGAACTCCTAGTATGCCACAGCATTTAATGTGTTATGTTTTGGAAAGAAGACTTTCAAATGAACCTGTGATTCTGAAGTTAAATGCCTAAAAACACTCATGAAAACTTGTTTGTAAAGCTGAGAAAACTGGAAATTAAAATGAGAGAGAATTTGGTGTCAGAGAATGTATATGATTAACTCATTATTATTGCAATACTACGCAAACGCTCCCTTTAAAACATTCAGATATCATTTTGCTCAGTGCAGTTGCCCACTGGCCTCATTTGATGTGAAATCTTTCTTTCTTCCCTATTCTGTAGGAGTGTTTTTCCTACCCCACCTGCAGTCTGATCAGAACAGATTTGTATTCTTTCCCTTTCAGAATCTCCTTTATTTGAAATTAATTATATTTAATCTCTTATAATTCTCTTATTATTCATGTGTTAATCAGTATGTACCATTAACCCTCACAAAAGCCTCACAATTCTGCCTGTGCATGCCATGTGTTTGAATATGTTGAAATTATTTCCAAAATGACTGAGTTTTCCTTTGCTTTCAGCAGCCTTCCCTGCTTCCAAGTCTCCTGTAGCTCCCAAAGACGTTTTCTTAGCTGAAGAATAGCAAGGCTTTAAGGGGAATCTGCATGATGTACTGCAGATGGCAAACCAGAAAAGTAATTCCATAAAACTCAGAAGTGTTTGCAACTTTGGAAATAGATGCCATGTACGTGCAATAAAGAAAGCATCTTAATGATCCAACTCTTGGTTTGTTTTGTTAAATCCAAAACATAGCACTATGGAAGAAAATTAACTCTATCCCAGCCAAAACCAGGACACAGCTTCTCACCTATGCAGATTCTGGCTGGAACTGATGACTGGCTTATCCAAAACGATACCCAGGAGAGCACAACCAGTAGGATTGATGGTACATATGTCTCTAGTATGAAATACAAGATGTTTCTCTTGAGTTCAAAGTGGAACACTAGTTTTGGGTAACGTCCTGTGGAAAGAGCAGGAAAAAAATATTGTGAAGGTACAATTCATAAAAAGTTCTTTAAATTACCAACCTGTATTATTTTTCTACGTTATTATGCAGTAAAAGCTTAACAAACAAGCTTGAAAAAAAATAAACACAGTGCTGAAAAATTCTATCATGAAGACTCTAAATTGAATGGAAGGAAAAAAAATCAAAATACATAACACCCAGTCACCATATCCAGAGTTTCATTAAAAATGCCTTGAATTGGAAATTCACTGAGGATTAGTGAAGGAAAAAATAAATCCATCAATGTGTAGAAAGGATGTTTCATTATATAATACAATGCAAGGAAATTTGAAATCACATATGTATTTAGCTGTGGTTATTCATAAGAATTACCACAATGAGCTACTATATAAACTAGCATAATAACAATTGTAATTTTATGAAGTTAGCATGGGTCCTTATCTTTAACTGCCTCACACATCTGGATTACTATTACTCAAAATGTGGATTAAAGGTACCTTCTCCGATACTGCTGACCTAACTCTTACATTCCACTTAAAAACAAGCAGTGTCTTTGCATCTTCACTATCTATTTTTTCTTTACATTAGTGCATTGCAGCATTTACATCATTCTGAGAAGTGTCGCTGTTGTGGCACAAATGGTTTGCTTCCAAGTGAGTGATGTCCAAAAGATGAAAGTTTGGGCTCACTGAGTCAAATACAGAATTGGGTTTCACAAGGGGACAGCACACTGGTAAGCAAAGCCTGAATTTGTTGTCCAGCTCAGTAACTGAGCAAAATTTGGCTAAGTTTGGGCAACAGATGCACAGGATCTGAAATTCTTACCAATCCAACAGATCAAAGTAAGGCAAAATCTTACCTTGTAGTAACTTAAATGTGCAGAACAGACTTTTTATTCAGAAGTTCAAAGTTCAAAATTAAGTGTTAAAGTATTTAAGTTTTTTAAAACAATATTTTAACAAAATTCTTGAACCAGAATTTCGGTGAGAGAGTAATGCTTGAGTATACTGTGGTCAGACAGCTTTGGCTTCATCTATTTTAATCCAACAAATTATGATCTCCAGGACCTATGTTTGCTTCCAATGCTGAGTGCTGTGAGTCAGGACAAAACTACAGAACAGTGAATGCACTTTAGCAACAACAATATATGCATAGACAGGCTATTTGTGTACTTTTAAAAGCTTGAAGTGCAAGTAACGGACGCCAAGAAATGTCTTCTTGCTCCCAGGCTAGAAAATGGATGGTTAAATTTCCATTTTTAAAAGTACTGTATAAATTGCATCCAGAGAACAATAAGGTTTCATAGAACTCTTAAAATCAGAAGGAATCACTAGATTATGTAGTCTGACCCTAATCACAAGACATTAAATTTCCCCAATTATCCCTTGCTTTGAACTCAATCACTTTGATTGGAATAGAGTCCACCTTTCACACAGACATCTAGACTTAATCTGAGGATATCAAGACATGCAGCATCCACCATTTCTCTCAGTAATCTGTTTCAATGATTAAATTCATTCTATCTTTTAAAAATGAATGCCTAATTTCTAATCTTTATCTGATTTAGGAAAGCTTAATCAAGCTTTCTGCCATGTTGACTCTGCCTTTTCACTAGTAGGTTAAATAGTCCTTTGGTAGTCAGCTCTTTCTCCTCCTGAAGGTACAAATACACTGTGCTTAGAGTTCTTCTTTGTAAGTTCAACGTATTGAGTTCTTCAAGTTTCTGACTGCTAGAAAAAAGGATACAAAGATGGAAAGTAGACTTTAACTCTCTCCATGAGCAGGAGATGCAAAGATGATTTATACTGTTATCATCATTTTTAGGTGAAAAGAGAAATATTACATTAACATACCTCTATCAATACTGTGATTTTTACCAATACAGTTGTTTCAGTAAAAGTCATTTTGCCCACCAAAATTGATTTTAAGTGTAAGCAGACCAAAGCAAAGCACTCAAAAGTTAGGAAGTGCAAAACTTAATTGACTCTGCAACATTACTTCTGCTTCTGTCTGCACTCATCCTTGCGCTAAATGAAGCACTAGCACTATGGAAAAACAGAGTCCGTACAATAAAAGACTATAGCATAAAGCATATTTAAGGAAAGAGAATTAGGGTTGTACAGGCAATTGTAAATCTGTGGCTTCCTAGTGTGCAAGAGCAAGCATTTAAAACCTTAATAAAAACTGTTAAGGATTTTATTAATTTTGCTTGCAGTCTTCCAGGCTGCTATTTAACTAGGACTCAAACCAGATACTTTTAAATAGAAAGACAAGATCTTCTCTGCAGTGTTTCACCCCAAACTGTCATTACTGTGGCATGGTTGCAGCTAGCGCACAAAGGAAAGGACGATGGCACAGCCACCGAGAGTGAGGGAAGGGTGTCAGCCCAGAGCTCCTGTCAGAGTGCAGAGGGTGCAAACCATCAGCACGAAACTGAATCCTCCACAAAAGTTGTTTGTCTTGTGTTTCTGTGCTGACCAGAGGGAAGGATGCGGTGCCTTGTATCCAGCAAAGGGGAGTGAAGAGACTGGACTATGCTTCCCGCAGAGACCCCAGGCACTTGGGGGTTCCTGTGGTTCAGCCTTAGAGCTTGTCTTTAAGAAGGAAGACTCTGAAATAGCCAATACATAATAGCCATACAGCAACACCCTCTCCTCGTTAGCACCCTACAATTGTATCTCCGTTCACCTTAGTATAAAAGTCAAGTGTGTACATGAGAAGTTAGTTCAAAATATCAAACTTGAAAGTCACACTTTGCCACTTTGCTGCAATTTCCAAGCGTAGACAGCCCTTTGAATGTTCCTGTGTTCTTTCGTGTTATTTTTCCTGATGCCAGAAATTTCTCAAGCAATATGAACAACAAAGAGAAATAGAGATGTAACAGCTTATAGCTGAGTGGCTTTTGGGGGAACAAAGAAAAGGCATTTCTCTAACCTTAAGGCTTTCTGCTTGCCAGAATCCACAGACACATCATGGACATGATAATAATAGTGTCAGCATTTCTCTAAAGAGTTCAGAAGAGCTTTTATAATGGAAATTTTGAAGCAATCTATATAAAGAATTTATATGAGCTCCTCCTGTAATAAACTGAAGGAAGTAGTCAAGAAAAAGTACGCAATGCATACTTATCATGCTGAAGAAATGAGCAATGGGACAAAATGAACATAGGGAAATATTACAGTCCTTTTTTCATCTACGCTCTGCATGTACCAAAAGTTATCATCTTTAAAAAGAAACAGATTTGCTACTCCTATTACGTGAGTTGCATATGAGATAGTAATGCTGTATCTCATTGCCTTTGAGTTGCACATCTGAGGCTATGGTGCCATCAGTCAGATGAAAAGTGAAACAGGTTCATGTAATCCTAATCCTGGCTTTACTAGAGTTAACTCAAGTACAGCTCAAGTTAACTCCTCAAAACTGTCAAGTTTGCCCCTTGCTTGAGTCTTATTGACAACAAAATATTTGCATTAAAATGAGAAGATGCTTTTTCATTCAAGTTTCTGGCCTACGATGGATGGCATCTCAGTGTGTGACTGCTCTGATTTAAATTTGATAATCTGATGGAAATAATCTCTGTGCAGATAGCTAACTCTGCAGCAAAGGCACAGCATTAGCACTTACCAAAGTATCAAATTACTGTGTTTAAAAGTTTCTCAGATGAATCTGATCCTAAATGACTGTCAGTATACATACTCTAAACCCACCAGAAGGTGAGGTATTCTACTTAGGTCACCCCATAGTGAAAGAAGATTAAGCTGCGTTACTTGGGCTTTATAGAATTTACAAGAGGGCAGAAGCACAAAACTAGACAGTAGTCCTAGATTGTAGGTGAAGAAGAAATCTACATAGCAGACTATAGTCTCCCTACCTACTCTAACTCTCCCTACTGCTTTAAAAAAAAAAAAAAAAACCACAGAAAAAGAGTACCCTAGAAAGTAGAAAGAGGTGACAGAAACCAAGTTTCAGTTGGCTCCAGCTGACCACTTCTGTTTCAGTATCGTGAGAATTATACCAGCATAGACTTTTTCCCAGTAGCTGAGCAGGTGTAGGTCTAGGTCTAAGGCAGATCTTTCTGAAGGCAAGAAAAGCTAGTTTATTCCTCTTTAAAACTTGCCTTTGAAGTTTGGCTTTTGGCTTCTAAAAGCAATATTCTAATTTACAGCACTGCCTATCTGACACTTCGTATAGATCTTGCCATAATACTGATGATTTTGTCAACACTAGCTATTGCTGCACTGCCTGAGAAATAGATATAAACCTAAACCCAACAGGCTTCCTTATCACCCTAGGTCATCCATTTTTTGATTATCCCATTCTTCTATGGCGTCTGTTCCCAGCTGATGGCAGACCACTGCATCCCTGCTCCTTCCTGCTGCCCTCTGACCAGCGGACGGTCACAGCAGAGGCGCCTAAAGGAAGGACTGATGCTCTACAAACGCTGTCGGCAGTTCCTAACTTCTACTCCAGTGTGACGGGATGGGAACATCTTCCCCACAGTTCCTTCCTGTGGACTTTTTGATGAACTCTACTCCAGTAAAAGACTGCTCCACATCATTCTTTATGTAAGAAGCACTTCGGTATCCTGCACAGGGGTGTGCAGTCGGGCACAAAGAGCACATTCTTCTCTATCATGAAATATGTATGCTAACCTCTTGGGTGCCAGCTAAAATGTGTGATGTACATCTCACACAAGCGCATCAGTATAACTCTACCAATGCATCATTTTCTTCTCTTATTGCACCTTTTAAGGGCACAGTACAGGAAAGCTTTAAATAGAATTGTACTGCCTTAACTATGTGCTGAAAATGTAGTTGTCAGTATGCAATTTTTTTATTGCTTCTTTACAATGAACATATGCATTAAGGAACGGGTAGCGTCCCCACTTTTACCCAAAAAATAAGTTGTGCAACTGAAATGCAATTCTCTGACTGATGTAGGATGCTAAGGGTGTCAATATATATGGTTAATATGTTATTACAGCTCCTTTGTCC